ATTCAATTACCCCATCCCTGGACATTTCCTTATTTTATTTCCGACAATTTCTCTTTTCTCCCGATATTTATTTTTTTTTCATTTCCGGAATTTTTGCTAGCTACCTCTCCAGCAATTTAATGTTTACCAGGTACATGTACGTAGAAATGGAAATTTGAAAAAAATTGTACAATATTTTTAATATAAAAATTCTGTATACATACATCTGTACATGAAGCACTAAGTCTAGTTAACAGACTTTTAATGAGCATGCAATTTTTTCATTACATTTAATGTTCACTAAATTAAATGTCAAAGACTGCGCTGAACTTATATCCAAGACATGTGATTTACTAAACAATCTATGATTTATTCTTTAAAATTTTTCATTACCGAAATTAAAATCAATTTCGTTTCATATATAGATATCAGAGATTTAAAACAATGACCAATTCTTATCGACTCGGAATTTAAATATCAGACACAGTTTTAATTCAATTAGTTTGAATTTAACTAATAGAAACGTGATGATATTTAAGTTCAATATCGGTGAAAATTTTAATTTGAACATGAATATTCAAATCTCATGTAAATCTACGCTTAATCTAGTATTTTTAAGTTTTAGCTCAGATACGCCATATTTAGCTTTAAATATTCAAATAAAGACTATATGATTATAATTATTATAAATGTCGCAGTTTTGAAGTGTACGCATGAATATTTTGTTCCTTAGCATAATTTATTAATTAAAAAAAATTCAAATCTATTGATATGTAAAGCTAACACATGACCATTAGGTTCACCGAAAATTCAATGACAGCGCCACCTGCCGCGGGCTCTACCTGTGGGTACCTGTCAGGTAAACAAATACGTCACACCCCCATTGTTTTATTAGCTGTACACACCGCCATATTTCACACCTTTAATCGTACTAATTTACACAAAGAAAATTCTAAGGAAAACAATAATTGTGGCATTATTTTATAAGAAATCATGGTCCTAAACGGCACTGCTTAACGCACACTAAACGAGTAGATTATTGTCTAGAGGTACATGTATGCTGTACAAAAAATAAATCAAAACAGTGTAATAATCCTTCTTATATTATTGTATAAACTAATTTTCTTTAATTTCATATGTTAAAGTCAAGATTAAAACATTTTGCACCACTCGGACCTTAAAACGTAGGGGGACCTTTTCTTATACGGGCCGGACCTTTTCTTATAAAAGGCGGACCTAATATGTTATCGTATTTGGTCCGGCCGGACCTTTAAACGAGGCGGACCAAATATTATGCGACACCGGTCACACCTGTCGTGTGCTCAGTATCATAAACGGGAAATGACGGGAAAATCCGTCGATAATTCAGTGTGTATATAATGGCCTAACAATAAATATGAGAACTGTCAGTCAGCAATTGACTTAATGATGAATTATATTTGCCGACAAGGTCAATTGCAGAACTTATGAAATTAGGACTTTAAACGAGACATCATATTCTTGTTCCAGCAACTTGTTTGACAATAATTTACCTCGTTTTATAAATTGTTCATACGTAGAGCATGCTCTTCGTATCGAATCAACTGAGAGATATAAACCCCGTATCCAGGTGATGAATGTATATTACTGCACAAGTAAGGGAAGCTGACGATTGAAAAGTTTAAGTCGCCACATTTATCATTAAGCTTTGTTGTTAGATTACAATTTACGTCCTTTTCAAGTAAAATATTTGACATGTCAGACAGGTGTGTCCAACTCTGTGGTATCTTTTATTTCAAGCTCACCGGGATATTTAGTATCACCATAAGAATGGAAATAACCATTGTTAATAGAGAATACGTCGTTGATAAATCTTAATGTCGAGATGAAAGTCACAAGTGTTTTCTTCTTCTTTTTTGCGTATTTAAGATTTTGGCCAAATTCTGCTTCATATGAATACAAAAATAGGTCTGCTAATAACGGGGCGCAGTTGGTACCAATGGGTATTCCAATAGATTGTTGGAAGACCTTATCTCCGAAAATCACATAGATATTTTGTCAATCAGATACTCAAACATCTTTTTGATGTCGACTTCAGAGTACTTGTGTGTACAATAAGAATGTTTTTTAACAAAATTATGTTGCAAATGGCCAATGACAAGGTAAGTATGCTGTCATTAAGAGGAATGTTGACTCATATTTTTAAAGCAAATTGTTTGACCATTAATTGGAAACTGAATTGTCTACGGATATTTATGTTTGTTCGACCATGACATGGAGCACACGGCGGGTGTGACTATTCTACAGTGGATGCTTAGTCCTCCGTGACTCTTGATCCCCCTTCTAATTAACTTTTCATGTACAAAAACTCTATAGTGCTTTGATGTCGAACATCCTCTGATGTATTCATGTTCTTCACTTCAGTTTCAAATATTTTTAATCTAAATAAATAACCTATTTATTTCTACTTTAAATGATTTGTACAAATTTAAACAATAAAATGTTCTGGGAATTAACGTTGTATGTAGCTAGTGCAGGGAAAATAAAATAGCCTGCTTTCGCAAGTAATGCATTTTTTTCTGTAATTACACTGAAAGAAATACCTAGTTAATTTAACTAGTGTGCCTCGTAAAGCGTTCGTAGGGATTAGTAATCATTCTGTTTACTGGCTTAGATAGTGAGTAATCGGGGGTCGTATAGATACCTACTAACCCAGTGAAAGTTACTTATAAATTCTAGATTTACTAATGTTATCCAGTAAATTTACCCAGTACCTAGTGAACACTTCTTTTAAAGTTGTTATTGTATTGAAAGACAATTTACTAGTCTTCATAGTGACTTTAACTAGTTTTTTTTTTCAATGTATAAGATTACTTCCAACACTATGAAAAAAGAAAACATTTAATTTTTTCAACCTATCGATTGAATTTCACGACTCATAAGAATACTTCTAAAAAGGAAATTCCTTTTTTTGTATTTTTTTCTGTACGTTTTGTTTTTAGCTAGAAGATCATAATTTTAAATTATTCCAATATTTTCACGAACTGAAGCTGTCCGATGGAACTGAATTTGTACGTCTTGTCTATCGAATCAGGTAATTTTTACTTTGAGTAATGAATTAATCATGTATTGTATAGGCAAACACCTGCACAGTTCATTGCACTTCATCAGAGTCTGTGACCGGATATGTCACCGAGAACGATTGATACTATAGGTTAAGCTTCATTTCTGTCAGATTCTCTAATTTTCAGTAACACTGTCTAGCAAACATACAGACAATATGCTGTAATATTACAAGACCCAAGAAAAAACATTATAAAAGATGATTAAAGGATTGTTTTAAGTTTACTTTCATTTTTCCCCAAATCAATGTCATCAATATCATGTGACTTCTCAAAAGTTCACGTGAGTACTATTTTACGATTTATTAAAGGTATTTTGCTATTAAAGACAATTTCTTTTTCGGTGATAAAAAAAACTTTTAATTTATCTTATACTTTGTGGATGGACATAATTTTGGTGAAAATCATTCTGATTCTACACACAATTTCTCAGAATTGATATCATAAAATCTTTGGAGTTCTTTGTTGGGAAAAAATGTAAATTGATATCAAAATCAAATTGTCATTCACACTGGAAAGCTTGCAATTGCATGTTGTCCCATCTTAATCATTCAATAATCTTTGTTTTCTAACATTAATACAGGATGTAATTTGTGGTGTTGTATTTTATAATCTATCTAAACAATGTATGTGCAAAGAGCAGTTACTGTAATTTTCCAATGCAAATTCTCTGCTACTGCAAAACTGGGATGGATTTCCACTCGTATAATCAGATATTTATCTTCAGAGTTATTAAATAATTTGATCAAGTTCTGTTACATAATATTCCAACCTGATATTTAGGGGGGATATTTTCTAATATTTTTATCAAATTTTCTGATTCAAACCGCAAAAATATTCAATAAAAAAAAAGAAATTCATTTTGTATTGTTTATATAATCGACTTTTTGAGCTTATTTAGATTTTAGTATTTCTGAGTCGTCTCTCCATTTAAAAAAAAGGAATAAATTTAAAGGTTCAAAATACACTGATAACGCATTTCAAATTCATGAGGAGAAGACACAGTAATAACAAAAAAAAAAGAAAATTGGCTTTAAAAGGGCCAGTTGTTGCATCGTTTCATGTGTACGGCTACATTCAGGTGCATATTCAAATCATTATACGTTCAGCTAAAACACAGTTTATGGCTAGGTTTTGAAAAAAAAATCGTATTTATAAATCAATGACAAATTTTTCTTCTTTTTATGAGCCACTTATTCCTGCTGAATCGCAACCTAAAGCGCCCACTTTCTTTGCATCTCTCTCCACCGGCAAGTGGTGGCCTCTCCATGAGTGAAATATTCTCAAAAGGGACGTTATTATCATGAAGTTGTGTTGTAAGATAAGATATAATATTTGCTCTGAACGTGTTAGAACTTTTTGTCCTTCCACACAAAAAGTTATTACTTATAAAAATTATGAACATACAATATGGGAAAAGCTCAATTTAATTCGTCTGTCATTTTAAAATACAGAGACAGCAGTGCAGAAAAAAGAATGTTATTTTAAAATTAATTCTGACCTCAAGTGCTTTCAAAACAACTCAAATAATATTTTTTATTTGTAGTAAATACAATCTATTATCAAGTCAAATGGTGACTGAATTTTTTTCCACACTAATCGTCAGGCCATTTTTACACACTGAATTGTCAACGGATTTTCTGTTATTTCCAGTGGGTGTGACCAGTGGGCAGGGGATGCTCACTCCTCCATAGCACCTGATTCCACCTCTGATGTTTTGGAGGTCCGTGTTTGCTCTGCACCTATTTTGTATTGTTTATTGGACTTTTGATCTTGAATACTGTTCGTTTTCTCCATATATTTCTTCTTTCTAACTTTGCTGACAAAACATGATTTTCTCTAAACATTTTTAATAATTTTCAATTAAAATAAAACAGAAATAAAACTGCTGTAAACCCAGTTTATTACATATGAAGAAACAATGTAAAATTTTCAGTGGAAATTTGTCGCTGGACGGAAGAGTAAAAAATTATGGCAGATGTGAAAAACATTCACAAATATGATCTGCCTCCTTGATAAATGTACAACATTTAATATGTAACACCAGAGTAATGTTGATTGTACAAAAACACAGTCAAAAGTGCAACAGTTGTATACCATTATCAGAACACATTTATACATTAAACACCTTGACCATGGTCATTTTGTTTAGAATCATCGTCAGTCATGGAAAATAAATATGACATTGTACAGGTAAATTGGCACAAATACACCCAGAAGACAACAGAGTTTTTTCCTTCAGTCAGATGACGCTGATACAATACCAGAATCGTGTTTGAATTCATCAAAGAAATCATCCCCACTGAAAGGAAAATGCAAGTCCCATGAACGAAAAAATTCAAATTAAGTGAAATATATTAAAACCTTATCAGATTAGTATGTACCATAATGTTTAAATGTGCTGTATGAAATGATAATTTTTTATAGAAATTTGGTTCTATAAATTTATACAGTTTGATAACTGTTGACTTTATATTTTTCTTGTAAATAATTACACGGAATATCGGAAATGAATAACAATTTGATTAAATTGATGGTGGGAAAGCAAAAAAAAGAAATACTTTTTCATCATGTAAGTTAATTTTTGGTGCAAAATAACCCCATCAATATACTTTTTATCTGCCCCCACCCTATATCTAAATACAGACATTAATAATATAAAGAGGATAATATGCTTTCATTATAAAGTACATGTACATGTACATTGAAACAAAAATTCTCCCCAGAGAAAAGGTGCACTTGTAAACATGGAGTATATTCCTGAATTTTGTCAAGAGGTAGTATGTTGTATATTAATTTAAAGTAAATATTAACTATTTGTTAAAAAAGACTTGTAACATTAATTTTTTTCTTCAGTTTTTGCCATGAACCTATTACTATTTGATAGTAATAATATACACGATGGTCTCATGACTGTCTTGGCCAATCAGATTCTATTTTACTAGTGGTTATTTATATGAGGTATAATAATTAGGGATGTCAAAATATTTATTTTCCTTAGTCGAACATTCGATTGCATTATTCGAACGATAGTCGACTATTCGGAACATCTTTGAAAATCTCATCAATAGCTTATTAATTTATAACTCTAAAACCCTTTACTTATGTGAAATGTAACATCAAATGCCTATATTACACACAGATATTAAGAGGAACCTGTTTTTAACAATGTTTTTAAAGCTTATTAAAATAAATTGGAAAAAAGGGAGGGACAAACACACACTATCCACATGTCAGGTGATATTTTGGTTAAATACTGCTTGCTCAATTAACGATTACCCCGGCTATCAAAATTAATGTCCTTACTTTGTAAGATTATTGTTTTAATAATTATCGAAGTTTCAAAACTTTATGGCTCTGGTGTGTTCCTAGCATTTGAACATTCTTACAGGTAATAAATAAATTTATAATTGGTATAAGTCCAGTTAATAATTTTCAAAGTCCAGTATAACGCTACATAAATTACCACAATAACAAACAAGAGGCCCAGGGGCCACATCGCTCACCTGAGCAAATCGTCTAGGAAAAAACACAAATCAGATTAGAACTGAAAAGTTTACTAAAAGGGGGGGGGGGGGGGCTTGAATTTAATACTACTTTAGAAAGCCTTCATATTAATACAGCATATGACTTTGCTGTTCTTGATAAAAAGATTTTTTAAAAACATCTTCTTCCTATACTATCACTAATCATTGCTTTGAGGTACTTGAGAAGACCAATTTTATAAAGATTTTTCCTATATATATTCTTATGTAAAATTTTGATCAGCCATTGTGGCGCCCACCCTACCCCCGGGGTCCTGATTTTAACAAACTTGAATCTACACTATCTGAGGATGCTTCCACATGAGTTTCATCTTTCCTGGATCAGTGGTTCTTGAGAAGAAGATTTTTAAAGATTTTCCCTATATACTCCTATGTAAAACTTTGATCAGCAAATGTGGCCCCACCCTACCCCCGGGGGTCATGATTTGAACAAACTTGAATCTACACTATCTGAGGATGCTTCCACATGAGTTTCATTTGTCCTGGCCCAGTGGTTCTTGAGAAGAAGATTTTTAAAGATTTTCCCTATATACTCCTATGTAAAACTTTGATCGGCCATTGTGGCCCCATCCTACCCCCGGGGGTCATGATTTGAACAAACTTGAATCTACACTATCTGAGGATGCTTCCACGTGAGTTTCATCTTTCCTGGCCCAGTGGTTCTTGAAAAGAAAATTTTTAAAGATTTTCCCTATATACTCCTATGTAAAACTTTGATCGGCCATTGTGGCCCCATCCTACCCCCGGGGGTCATGATTTGAACAAACTTGAATCTACACTATCTGAGGATGCTTCCACGTGAGTTTCATCTTTCCTGGCCCAATGGTTCTTGAGAAGAAGATTTTTTAAAAATACCATTAATTTTTCACTAATTCATAATGGTCTCCCCTTGGAAGAGGGCGTGGCCCTTCATTTGAACAAATTTGAATTCCCTTTACCTAAGGATACTTTGTGCCAAGTTTGGTTGAAATTGGCTCAGTGGTTCTTGAGAAGAAGTCGAAAATGTGAAAAGTTAACGATGACAACGCCGACGACAGACGACGGACAAATTTTGATCAGAATAGCTCACTTGAACCTTCAGCTCAGGTGAGCTAAAAAGGTCAGTATTTGAGAAATAACGGGACTTTCCATATGTACAATGTGGAAAATTATTCATCAACTGTGAATGTGTTTGAGCTCTTATTCGTCTGAGGACGTATACGTTAATGGTTTGAGGAAAGACACTTTTCCAAATTTGGAGATGAGAGGTTCTTTATCACCTCTTTTTCTTGCATTTATTAAATATTTGAATGTCGTTTCATTATTCGATCATTGATCCATTCGACTGATAGTTGGATAGTTGACTATTCGTTGACATCCCTAATAATAATCGGAGATATTGAAAAAAAATACATGTATATGAGCATAACCCTCAATTAAAAAAAAAATTACACATTGTATAAATACAAAACAATGTCAGAACTATTGAACTAATTATCAGTATTTAAAATGTTCAGATTTGGAAATAATATGTTCTTTATATTCATTTTAAGTCAAGTGTAAAGGCTGCACTCTTGTAAAAGATGTTTACTCTTGTAAAAGATGTACCCCCAAAGTTGGGGGTGGAGGGAATCTCGAAAAAAACGCAAGTCCTAAGGATATAACACAACCAAATAACACAAATATGAAGATACTGTACATGTACATAAATTGGCGTATTCAAAAATTAGCACAATAACTGGAGATTGAGCTATACACCACCGTGCCAATATATTGTACTCATAAATGATTTCTTAGTGGTATTCATGAATTAGAGCATCATTCTTCATGCCAAAGCCTCGTAAATATGAAGTCCGCTTTTTTTTTCAGTACACATACAGTATCGCTTATTTGAACAGCACAGGTATATAATTGTAAAGAAAACATTTGAAAAGTTAAAATATTCTATCAATTCAAAAACAAAAGTAAGATACAACCTCTAATTTTCTTTTCATCAAAGATTCCTATGGAGATTTTTGAGAACTATTTCAATCAGAAAGAATTAAATAGTTTTTTAAATAATCATGAATTCTTACATAGCCAAATAATAGGGCAAATATGGGTCTTTTTCTAAACCTTGCTCTTTGACTGTCATAACATTTTACTACTTTAATTTATGAGGAGTACAACACTGGCAATTTCCTCACCTGTTTCTTTCCTCCTCTCCCTCCTCCTCCTCCTCCTCCTCCTCATTCTCTGAACTATCACTTTCACTTTCATCATCATCATCATCTGATTCTTCACCACTATCATCAGATTCCTCATCACCAGACTCATCACTTCCTGACTCATTTTCCTTCTCTTGATCTATAATGGTTTAACATTATTTTTTTTATTATTTTGTACATTTACAGATAATATGTTCATGTAAATGGTACTTTCATTGCTCCATAAATGGCCAAATTATTTTTCAAGTAACAGATTTATAAAAGAAGAATTTCAAATTTCAATTCTTCTAAATATTGCTTATATATAAATTTGATTTTAAGTTTCAATAAGTAAAAATATACATAATTTCACAGCTAGAACACAACAATCTCATTAGAATCATGTTCTTTGATCTGCTTCCAAAGATTGCTCTCAAGTAGTGATCCAAATTCAAAGTGGGAGTTGGGACAGACACATGGAAGGATAGAAGGACAAGAGATGGACATATCATCAAACACTTTGCCATGTCAGGGTATAAGAACATTTAGCTATATTTTTTTATTTTATTTGAATGTTATGACATTTTACTCACAAACTAAATAAAAGTGCGAAGCACTTTTATGTTAAGTTTGTGAGAAAAATGTCAATAGTTTACACATCGATAAATTTTTCAAAAAGAACGTTTAACCTTATAATTCCAATCTCGAATTTTTAAAAATATTTTAAATTATTTCTCTTTGAGGCCTCCATACAATCCGTTAATCTGGTTGAATACATTTTACCATAAAGGAAGTTGGATGTGTTGTCAAAACAATCGATAAATAAACTTATAACAACTAATGGAATGCTGAAGTCAACAAATATCGTAATTACGAACTTCAGAATAGTTCGTCTTTGACCATGGCCATGTTGACATAAACAACAACTCTCATAGCGAAACTTACGACGCCTTCAATTTGCACTTGTTTATTCAAATATTGAGGAACAATATAGAAAGTTAATAGGAAATTGATGCTAATAGGGCAAGAGCTTGAGGTACGTTTCTTTTCCCTGTCAAAACGATACAGACTGAGCTTATTTTCTGCGTATGAACGTTGAGACAGCGGTTTTTAAAATTCACCGTGATCGGACAGTGACATAAACATTTTCACGGCGTCCATCAGTTAGGCAGTCTAGTATGTTGCCAGTTTTGTTTTACTTTAAGCCCTAATTAAATTTAAAGTTCTTGTATTCATTATTTCAGAAATAACTGCTTTCATTGTTTATAGTTAAACAAAACAATATAACATTTAAAAATTTCGTTCTCGTCCAATCAAAACACAGGAAATCAATAGATAAAATGAAGATTGGAATTATTTGAATTTATGCTCCTTAGATGGAAATATTTCATACCTAGGAGAATTTTCTCTTCTAATACTGGTTGAAACTGTAAAGCAGTTGGATGTGTTGGTTCATAAATCAGAACTGAAAACAGAGAACATGCAGGCATTCCTTACTATAGTTCAATGTACATGTATATGGATAAATTTTATTAATCATTTGTACATGCTATTTGATCTAAAATTTAAGAGTCTATTAAATATAGACTAAAAATATATGCAGTCTGAATACAAGAGGCATGCATATTGAATTGACACGGAACATTGCTCTCTGCAATAAATGTTTTGAAATTTTTTTATGTTTTATTGGAAAAAATGAAATAAAAGCACATTTCAAATTCAGTATTTTTCCAGTCAAAGACTTACCATATGTACAGTGTAGGTATTGAATATAATATTTACTTACTCATCTTGCACAGCTTGGCTGCCACTACATATTCTTTTTTCATCAAGCACTCCAAAAACTGAAAAATTAAAAATAAAGTATGCTACTGATACACAAAGAGTGATAAGCCAAGTTTATCCCTTGTTTAATAAATTACATTTTTCCTATGTAAGTGAAAGTTAAATAAATTTCTTACTTTTTTTTCTTATCTTCAGATGCCATTAATTAGTGCCTAAAGATGTTCATATTATATCTACCTGTAGGCAACTTTGCCACACATAATCCAGTTAAACTTTGGTATCTCAAACTCAGATATCTTGAATACAAGGGATATGTAGTGATTTGGAATTCCAAAATCCAAACCACTAAATTCTAATTACGATTGAACGTAAATATCTCAAACTCTTGGATATCTCTAGAAAGTACTTTTGTCAGATAATGAGGTTTGTCTGTAGTATTGGTTTATCATCACTACTATCAGTAAGTTACTTCCATAAGGAGTTCAGTGGGAGCCCTTATTTCTCAGCCTCACTGAGTTTCAGATAATGAGATTTGACTGTAGTATCTCTTTACCGTAGGTAAGTTACCTCCATAAGAAGTTGTCTGGGGGCCTTTCTCTCCTGTTTGTTTTTTTCCCACTGAGATTGAGATAATGAGATTTGACTGTAGTTTAGTTTATAATTATCTCCAAAAGTAGTTGCCTGGGGGCTTTCCCTCTTCTCTATTTTTTCCTCTGTCCCGCTAAGTTTGAGATAATATGGTTTGACTGTAGTATTAGTTTATAGTTACCTCCAGTTGACTGGGGGCCTTTCTCTCCTCTCAGGTTTTTTTCCCCCACTGAGTTTGAGATAATGAATTTGACTATAGTATTAGATTATTACCTCAGTGAGAAGTTGACTGGGGGCATTTGTATCCTCTCTGTTTTTAATGAGTTTGAGATAAAGGGATTTGACTGTAGTATTAGTTTATAGTTACCTCCAGAAGGAGTTGACAGGGGGCCTTTCTCTCCTCTCTGTTTTTCCACTGAGTTTGAGATAATGAGGTTTGACTGTAGTATTAGTTTATAGTTGCCTCCATAAATAGTTGACTGTGGGCCTTTCTCTCCTCATTTTTCCCCAATGAGTTTGAGATAATGAGGTTAGACTGTACACTGTAGTATTGTTTTTAAGTTACCTCCATGAGGAGTTGACTGGGGGCCTTTCTCTCCTCTCTATTTTGTTCTCATCCCAAAGAGTTTGAGAAAATGAGGAGTTGACTGGGAACCTTTCTCTCCTCTCTGTTTTTTTTTTTTTCACCAAGTTTGAGATAATGAGGTTTGAATGTAGTATTAGTCTATAGTTACCTCCATGAGGAGTTGACTGGGGGCCTTTCTCTCCTCTAATTTAAACTCATTTAATGAGTAATTATTGACTGTAGTATTACTGTATAGTTACCTCCATAAGGAGTTGACTGGGGGCCTTTCTAGTTTATACTTACCTCCATGAAGGCGTTGACTGGGGGCCTTTTTCTCCTCTTTCTTTTTTCCACTGAGATTAAGATAATGAGATCTGACTATAGTATTAGTTTATAGTTACCTCCATGAGGAGTTGACTGGGGGGGGGGGGCTTTTCTCTCCTCAGTTTTTTCCCCCAATGAGTTTTAGATAATGAGGTTTGACTGTAGTATAACTGTATAGTTACCTCCATGAGGAGTTGACTGGGGGTCTTTCTCTCCTCTCTGTTTTTCCCACTGTGTTTGAGATGATGAGGTTTGACTGCAGTATTGTTTATAGTTACCTTCATGAGGAGTTGACTGGGGGGCCTTTCTCTCTTCAGTTTTTCCCCCAAATGAGTTTTAGATAATGAGGTTTGACTGTAGTATAACTGTATACTTACCTCCATGAGGAGTTGACTGGGGGCCTTTCTCTCCTCTTCCTCCTCACTGTCACTATCACTACTACTGTCCTCCTTACCCCCCTCAGCACCCTCTGGTGGTAGCTCCTCTTTGGGTTTGGGTTTTGGTGAATCTTTCAGGTTCACTGGTTTCCTAGATAAAATAGTATTCATGAGGAAGCTGGCTAGCATTATGCATATACATTAATGAAGCACTAATTCCTATACTTCAAAAGAGGGGTATATGGGTATTTTTTTAATCTACTCCAAAATAACAGATGACATGCATTGTAAAACTTAATATATAAAATCTTTTCTTTTTATCAACATTATTCATGTAGTGAAATAAATCTTTTCCCATTGAGGGTTGCATGTATTTATTATTTTTGTGGTATGAATACATCGGTGAATTTATGTCCTTCATGAAATGTTAAAATTTCAAACAAGAATCCTCTTCAACAATAAAATCAGTGATCTTACAGTAAATCATTGATGTTAAATATTATGCATACACTGTGGTAATATTCTTAGCACAATAAACATTTTTCAAATAAGAGAAGTGTGGTAAAAATTTTAAAAATTGTACAGTTTCTTGACTTACTGTTTTGGTCTGGAAACATTTGTAGAAACAACAAAGGGTTTTTTGTTTCCATCACCATGACTGCAGCCTATATAAAGACAATGATTATGTTGTTTGTTGTCTTAAGAGATTGTTATTAAAAAAATATTGCTTTTCCTTTATATATAAAGTTGGACAAAAGGCCTTCCGTATTATTCAAAATAGAATTTAAGCACATTTGAAGTGGTAGTGTTATGGAATAATCAGGTCAAAGATTCACACAAATCTGATTCTAAATATAGATTTTCAACAACAACTAGCTGCAGCTAATGCAACAGCAGGTGTTTGTGTTAGGGAAGATGGGAAGATTAGATCCACCTAACATGCTTGAACATATATTCATACGCAGTAATTGCATGTACATGGTACATATATTTTCTGTTTATACAATTGAATATAAAAAGGTTATTTAGAAGCAATGTTATTTACAAAAGTGCTTGTTACAATTCTGATTGAATCAAAAAGGTTATTTGAAGAAAAGTCATGAAACTGTTCAGATGAGAGTCAATATAATTTGTGTACATCTTCAAATTTAGTAATAACATAAATTTCAGAACGTTATTACCTTTATTTGAAAGTGGTTTTAAGCTTTGAACTTTACAAACACTCACTGTGCCCTTTTCTTATGGAGTTAGCTCCCTTAATTTCCTTCTCTTCTCTTGGTTCATAAATTCTAAGCAATGATTTAAAATCAAAATATACATGCCATGACATAAGTATAGCTTCTTGTTAATTCTGATATACATGTACATGTAAAATGCATTCAATAAAGTTTTACAACATATTCAACTTTATCATGTTAGTTGCAATTTAAGGATAAATAACACAAACAAACTTTTTTCAGAAATCAGCAATATTTCTCATAGATTTACATCTAAATTGGTAACCAGAATAATGTTTACAGTGTATAGTGGGAAAACGTTATAAGATTTTGTCATAAGGATAAAAATTTGTGCAAAATTTTGTATGTAAATATATAGGTAGCAAAATAAAGTCTCATACCTAAGTACCAGGAAAACCTACAATTCTTTATATTTCAGGGATTTATTATTTTTATTTATGTCATATCAAATCAAAATCAGTCAAAATATATATATATATATATATATATATATATATATATATATATATATATATATATATATATATATATATATATATATATATAAATCTATGCATCAATTTTTGTTTGTGTTAAGTACCCTCAAACATGAATGAAATAAAATCACCAACTAAACACATAAACACCTTGAATTCTCTCGACTTAAAGACTGCCTCAATTCCTCCATATCTACTGGTTCCTCGTATCCTGGTAAATCATCTCTTCGACCGACAGACCGTAGAGTGACCTGTTTGGTTGGAGTTGGGGTTCTTCTGGACTGGGGTTTATTTGCACCTGGAGGTGGCATTCTACAAAGAACTCAAGTTTTTACATTAATCTTATGATAATGGTTAGTCATGCCCATCATTCAACTGATGATAGTTTAGTCACCCATTGAGAATGAACAGCTACATGTAGTCCTTGCTATCGCATACCACTTGAAAGGTTAAAGTTGGTGTAACTTGTTCCTTTAGATTCATTAAAAATTCACTTGCAAAGTATATTTTGGAATATCTTTCAACTTAAAAATAATTTAACTGGTTTCTGTACATAAAAATGGCTAAGTACAAAGGAAACGATATAGGCATGACCTGCACAAGAATGCTTTGTAAGTTTGTTATCATTATTACACTGAATAATCAACAATAATAAACTGAAGTCTATAGATAGTTTTCGATAGGCCTGAATTTAGCGAAAGTTACCTCCCGTTGGTCGCCATATTGGAGGTCGACTCAGTGATTTTCCCTCTATGTCTTACCAAGTTTAAAAGGTTATAGCAGAAATATTTGGTGGAAAATCTTTATCAAATAATTTTTTTTAAATAAAGGAGGCTTCCAAAAATTTATATACTTCAGAAAAATAATGATTTCTAATTCAAAATAGCTAATATAAAAATTTTAAATTGGTTGAACAATGAAGGAATATGTTCATTTGGACCTCCAGTATGGCGGCCAACGGGAAGTAACTCTTGGTCAATCGAAAACTATCTATTTAGAACTCTAGACCCCTGATGTAGTGAAGATGAATGTATTGCAAACAAGTAAAATTACTGAAATTAAACCTCTCTGAATCTGTTTCTTGGATTAATTTACAGGCCTATTACCAAAACTGAGTGTCAGGTTGCCAACAGAACACTGTAGCTAAAACACATAAAAATAAACGACCATACCTCTTTTGGTCACCGCCTTGACGATAAACTGCTCCATCTTCTCCAAGAATGGGAAGAGGATCCGTTTTTCTGTCTGGTCCACTCATTTTAAAGGGGTTTTCCCGTTGAGTATTTTATCACTGTGAACTCCATGTTGTTTACATGGTTTACGTTAGTCTCGTTCAACCAGACGCTCGGCTGTCTCCGTGAACTCCGACCAGCAGAGAGTCTGGTAAAGAATCACGTAAGCGTTTGTAACCGTCAGAGGGCGCTATCTTCTTTTCATTTTAAAAATCCTTTTTGTAAGCAAACGTTATATACGTTTCTTCTGCTTAATTGTGACTTTATATTAATAAACTGGTCTTTAATTAGGGATACCAAACGAGAAATTACAATATCAATCGAAAGAATGTGTATTACACAGGTAAGGCTACACTACTTTCACTTTTGCTTTCGTACAGAATATTTGCAAGACATAATAAAACACACTTACCTATAGCTGGTGGGCATTACCGTAAACAACTCCTCTCTAACGGTTTTAACTTTTAGAAACATAACTTTTACATCTTTAAGTTATTTTTCTGCTGATTTATCACGTATTTGTTTAAATCTTGTAGGTGTGTTCTTTTCAGCCAATCAAAAACTTTACCAGAATTTTGGTAAGCCTCGCTTTGGCGTTACAATCGATATCACGTATCTTTACCAGACCCTCTGGGTGGTCGGAGATTTACGAAGACAGCCGAGGGTCTGGTTGAACGAGACTAGGTTTACGTTAGATGTCACATGGTTAGACTAAAATCCGAAATTCGACGTCATTTAGCATGTTTAGTGAAACCAGAGACATAAATAACATAAATTATTTATTTCTCTGAAGAAACAAGTCTTTAGGCAAAGACAGAATTCAAACTACAATGTTTCACGATTGTTTGTATGGTACTGAACAGGAGGCTTTATTTATACATTATTTTTTATTCACTCTTAAAGGAGTGTGACTAAAATGGGTAGCGAAACCAGGGCCGGGCCGGGAATTTCAAAACTGAGAGCCGGGTTTTTGATAATTACGAGATAAATACTCATTCTTTCTTCACGAAATTTACAGACATAGTTTATAAGTATAGGTTTTGCCTTCGCTGAGAATTTTAAGTCAAAATGTTTTGTTTTTCGATGATTATCGCCGATTGTCCTTTTTCAGGTGACTAAAATGGGTAGCGAGCCCGGTTTACTCATTTTGGCGATTTTAAGCTTAATGCATCGAAAGTGTTTGTGATATTTGCATTTAAGGGAGTATGGAACTGACGATTTTGAATCCACCGCGCAACTCCAAGTGACGTAAATGAATTTTACGTCCGTGTATGTCGTTAAAATCTTTCGATGATTTTTTGATTAAATTTTACCGTAAAACTTATTGTATAGATATACTTGATATGAAATAATATAAATTGTGACTAAAATGTCATTAAAATCGAACCACAACACAACTCTGTGTAATTTTTACGACTTCTCTTGCTTATCGCCGTTTTCGGCAATGTCAACAAAGCTGATGTTTCGGAAAGCATGAAATGCGGAAAAAGCTTGGGTTTTCGTCTATCAAATCTATCTAGCGGTACAACAAGGCTTCTTTGACCCAAAGAAGGCGATAGTGAACTGTGTCATACTGAACTTACTCTGCCAACAATCACTCGAATGAAGGAATCACAATCGCATCACCATGATCACCCCACCCTACCAGTACCATGCCCACGACAACTCTCGTCTGATCTGCCCAGGTTTGCCTCTAAATTCAACCTATTATTTTTTCATAGCAATTCTTTGCAATATAAATATTCAAGCTGGGTTAAAGGGCACTATGACTATTAATCCGAGATTCCTCCGACTCTAACCCCTGTTTTTACATTGTAACCTGCACAAGTCATAATGTAAAAGCAGGGATTAGAGTCAGAGGAATCTTGGATTATATAACTATAATCACACAATTAATACAATTCCACAGTGGTGTATATACGTGTATCACTATCCGTTGATCTTCACATGACATACTCCAGTTGAACTCAATCATGTCCAAATATAGATATATCATTTGAGACACTGTTATCCATGTATTACCCAAACAATTAACCTGAGATGCAACATCATGCAAGGTGTTGAACACTCTATGGAATTTTTCCCATCAACTTACAGTTCAATATTTCGATCACTAGTCTACACTACAACAAAAGTAATGCACATATTCTTCACATCTAAAATTCTTCTGCATAAAACAGTAGTATTCATTAATTATTGCATTAAATTTTGTGCCTAAGCCGCTAAAATATGAAGCCTGCATTTTTATGTACACATACAGTAGTTTTATCTGTCACATGATAGCTGAAATAGGTACATAATTTACCACAGGGACTTAGGCAGTCTTAGCAAAATCGGGTATACAGTATAGTAGCATTAATAGGTGAGCTAAGACTGTCTCAATTTCCTGTGATATTTAATATACTATGGACTTTTGTGAGGACTGCTGACTTTTACACTCGACGGCTTACTTTTACACTATAAAAAAATCTGACAATGTACAGAAGCTGTTTTGAAATAAAAATATTTAGGTCAACATTTACTATTGTACAAAAATAATCGGCAGAAATTAAAGCACATAGAGAATCTGACAACCACTCTACCCTCAAATACCACCATTCACATGTTAGTGCCCCAAACACTATCTATAACCACTACTGCACTAGTAATGTTTCCTTATCTTTTATAAATTCTATACATCCGTACATGACATAGGGCCAAAATAAAATTATAGTTTGTTTGGAATTGCCTCCCCTCTCATTGAAATGCCCCCTCCTGAAAAAATTTTACTGACCAAAAGTAGAAAGATTTTTGTTTTTATTTAATCAATTTTTTTTGCCCGTTACATGTATCACATACACCATACAAAACACTGAAATATAGTGTCAGATATATGTAAAAATAGGTATTTTTTTGTTGATGGTAGATACTTTTTTTTAAAAAGTCAGAAAATGTATTTATTGTTTACTGAGATTTTTATCAAAAAATTAAAATTTATCTTCAATTAAAAAAAAATAATTTACCTCCCTCCCACCTGTGTCTGAAACCCTTCAGGCGGCAATTCCAAACAAACAATTTTTTAAGGACGGCCTAGGTTTAAATGTCAAAGTCAACCATCAAATGTTAAAGTCAGTGCTTTTCGCAAAGGTCCATAATTATGCAGGCAATACTCGAATTTGGAAATAGTCATGCTATTATTCATTAGACTAGTTAATATAGCTCAAAATTTTTTGCACATAATTAATTATTTAGTATTTAATGAAATATTAATGCAGATTAAAGAATGCCCAATATTCCAACAAGATGTGTTTATGAAAAAAAAAAACTATGCACCCCGTGGCAACAAAGGTAAAAAAAAAATTTTTTTAGCATATAGGTCACAGTCAAGATCACAAGGTCATGACCTTGGTATCATTTGAAAGAGCTTCGTTAGTGGAGTATGCATACCAAATATGAAGTCTCTTTCTCTCATGGTTCAAAAGTTATGGCAAAGGTTAAAGTTGACAACAGACAGACAGACAGACAAACAAACAGACAGGACAAAAACAATATATGCCTCATATCTATCGATCCAGGCACATACAAATTTCATGTACATGTAAAAATAAACATGACAAATCAATGGATGCTCCTCAGATGTACAAACATGTACATGTATATTTTTTGAATAGGTATTCCTGTTTTTGTGGACACATGAAGTCAAGATAAAGGAGAATATAGAACATTTTATATCTGCTAAATGGGGACTTGAGAAGACTTGGAACTACATGTATAGGGATGGAGCTGACAGATGCTCTAAAGGCCAGTCTATAATATGGTGTACCACTGCAGCCCTCTCATGCGGTGTCCTAACTTATGGATCATCCGCTATCATTAAGGTAAAATGTTATGTTTATATATTTTATACTTGTCAATGTGTTAGTCTGTACAGGGTGTTGTTAATTAAGTAAAAAAATGTTTCTGTTTTTCCAACCAACTCCAGTTTATTGGTAATCTTTCATTAAAAATATGAATATTCATTTTTTCATAATATTACCAAGCATAACAATTTCCATAATTAAAAATACTATTTTTTGACATCAATTTTTTATTTCTTACAGTGAACCAGAACATCATATCAGCAATGAGCGGGTAGCCCATTTGAACCAATATTTTGTTCCATAAAGGACAATCACGAAACAGGCAGACAAAACTACAGGTTTGAAAATAAATGGAAGAAAATCACTGGACACAGTATAATTTCCTATCCCAGTATTGCTGAAACTCTGGCATTGTCAACAAACTCCATGTGGAATTATGGATAAAAGATTTGAATGAAAAACTATTTGTGCATTATTCTAAAGGAATTATGGATTCTATTTCAGAAGACTTTTTTCAGTTGAAGTTGGATACAAAAAGAGACATTTATCCTCAGTCTATTTGAAATGTCAATGGCATCAATTATGTCTTTTGAATGATGAAGTTTTCCACATACTTTATGTGCAAAATACAATTTATAATTTTAAGAATTGAAAAAAAATAAAATTTAGAATAATAATTAAAAATAGAAAAAACATTTAAAATAAATAGTTTGAAAGACTCGTCAAATCATATATTTTTTTTCATTAAAGAATAGTTGAATTCACACTTCTCAAAAGTTTTGTCCCTTGGCTGCCATCTTTGAGGAAAAACCCAAAGAATCCTCACAGTACCCTTTATAGTTTTCTGATTTGTAAATTTGTCATCTGAATGGAAAAAATATGTGCATCTTCTATAATCGATTGCCCCAAGATCGGCCAACACATATCAAAAGAAAAAATTAAAACACAGATGATTCATCCTACCATGCCCAAAATATTCTGTAGCATAAAGAGGAGAAATGTCATTTCTTTCCCATTTGACCTTTTGGTTCACCCATCAAAGGGACACAACTATTGCAAAGTGTGGATTGGATTATAGTCCTTATATTCTATATTTAGAAAAACAGTCAACAAAATAGTAGTACATTTAGAAATAAGCTCCTTAAAAAAAAACAAGATTTGCTAAACAAAATACTATATTCTTTTGATTTGTTTTGCATAGTACATATCAACCGGTATTGACTGTTTTCGGGTGACATTCAGATTATGTTAGCCTCCGTGGGATGAAGATATTGTCCTTCGCTCCACGTTGGACAATATTTCAACCCTTGGAGACTAATCATACGGTCAACATCATTCAATATTTGTTTTAGTTAATATATTTTAGTGACACTCAATCAAAGAACTTGGGTTTGGTAATTTGTTGTTCCAGCTTTATAATATAAATATTTAATAAAATATTGTTTTTACTCTTCTCTTTATTAAACACATGTGTAGTAGGGCTGTCACGGGTACCCGAAATGACCCGGAACCGCGGAACAATTCATTCGGTTCGGGTACGGTTCTGTTTTTCCGGAATTCGGTTCGGTTCCGATTTGTATAGTAGTGTAGGTTTTACTATAAAAATGGCGTCAAAAACGAGAGATTTCTTAATACATTGCAATTATAAGGTGATTTAAATAATATGGTACAATTGTTGTCTAGTCAGGAAGCTACTTTAAACTAGTTAAAATGTTGCTATTTCGAAGATTAAATGAAAATATTCTTTTTGTTGTTGAAAATAATACAAATCATTAGCTTTTATTCCATTAATTACCCGAACCGAAATACCCGAAACCGAACCTAAAAAAATCAGAACCGACCCGACCCGAAAAATTTTGGAACCGTGACAGCCCTAATGTGTAGCAAAATACATTGTAGTGTATTGTGGTGGTGTAACGTTTCCCCCCATCTTAACAGGGTGCCCTAGCTGCAGATCTGTAGCGTTATGATTTTATATATTTGTCTTTGACTGTTATGGTCCAAGACAAATATATAAAACCATAACGCTGCAGCTACTGGGTGCCCATGATGTGCGGTGATAACCATATCAGTTATTGATTAATATAATAAAAAAATCATCTTAAGGCCTATATGCTACTGGACAAAAAAATATCCAAAACAAGACTCAGATTAATAATTAATCAAAATTGTACGTGGAAATACAATCTTTAATCTTATTCAGAGCATGAGGCAGTGCCAATGTACACTGCATGTAGGCATTCCGTGATTTCCGTCTTCGCCTGATAACTTTATTTCATCAATTTCACTGAAACGTTAGAAACAATCGAACTTTACTTTCTTTTTTGTTTTTTTTTTAAATAATAATTATTCACGGACCATTGAAAATACCTCCTTTAATCAGCTAATTTGAGTTAACATCGTATCTTTTGAGTTTGAGTTGCAAACTGGAAATAACTTATACACTGTAATGTACAAAACTAAATCGTGAAATCGGAAGATTCCGGATTGCTTAGCAAAACTCGAGCGAAAAGCATTATCCACCGTGTTACGAAAGAAATAAAGCAACGATGGAATTTTTTTAGTGTTGATTGATAAAATCAAGTTAATAAAAAACTAAAAACAAACATTTTATAATTGCAAGCTCATAATTGCACCATTTCATAACAGCTAGGAGCAGAGGAAATTCGGGTTGAGGAAATTCGGAAGATTACTCTAAAATTGAACACTAACTTTATAATTTTTTATTAGCAATTTGTAAAACAAGCAAATCGCTTTAATTATTGCATAAAAAATTAAACTTTTAATTATTCCTTAATTGCTTAAAATTACATTGTACATATATATTAACCCATTTCCCCAATAAATCAATATTATATAAATAAGTTAGAATAATTTGTCTTTCTAGATTTTTTCCTTGTACTTTTTTCTTTTAGAAATTAAATTCCATTCCTGTTGATGACAATAGTTTATAAAATAATTAGTTTTCCGATGTTTTTATGGGAATTCTGAATTTTTAAAAATTGATTATAAAAATTTCATTTTTTCATACAGAGTTACTCCCCTTATTTTGGCGTGTTCTATTTTTAGATTCACGCACTAGAACATTTTCTAATGCATTTTAGTAAACTATTGAGATGTTCTTCTTTCAATCGGTGTATCTATTTTGGAGTTTTAATTACTCTGAAATTAGGACCCGAAAGTCCCATACTCCCTTAATGGTTGTTTATTAACTTCAAATAGTTAAATTGTTCAATAATTATGAAATTAAATGTCAATTATTAGGGTTTTTGTCATTTTTCATAGACCCGGGACAGGTCAAAACCGGACGCGTTTGCCCGGGACAAATTAATAATTCCGGATTGCCAGAGAAAGAATGTAGATTTTTTTCAGACCCTGACCGAGATACATTTAAGAAATAAATTGGAAAAAATTAATAAAAATATGCAAATCAAAAAAGAGTCATTTATATTTCAATTATTTGTCATTATCTGATAAGTATTTCGGAAATAAAAGGTTTTTCCCGGGTGAACGTGTCCGGTTTCGACCAATCCCGGGTGTTCAAAAAATGCGTATATTTTCAATAATCGTGATTTATTACTGCAACAGTTAAATGTTTTAGGTAGTTTAGTTCAATTTCAAAGATCCAAATGAAATAATTGTAAATATGCTGCCGAAATTAAGTTTAAATCGCCAAAATGAGTAATCCGGGCTCGCTACCCATTTTAGTGAATTATGGTCAGAACGGTACCTAGTAAAAATGGCACCTGGTGAAAACGGCACCTGGAATATGCAAAACGGCACTTGGTTAAAACGGCACTTAGTGAAAACGGCACTTGGTGAAAACGGCACTTAAGAGGAAAAAGTATATAATTATATGTTATGATATATATTTGACATAAGTTCTTTTTTAAGTCAAAATTTTATATATTGACTTTAGAACTTTTTGTGGCTTTATTTTTGCTTTATAGTTTATTTTCAATCTATTTTTTAATTAAAAGGTAGTATTTATAGGTTATAACACAACATGTGGGATTAAGAATAATTATATCTGAAGTGTAGTGTTGATATTTTTTTTTTTTAAATGGTGTAAATGATTTTCAAAAAAAAATATTTACAGTCAGAGTCATTTTATCTCACATTTCTATCTAATTCTATAAAAATTATTTGTAACAATATCAACATTGTATCATCTTCATTTAAAAAAAAAAAAAAAATGTTTTTGATCTTCTATATATATGTTTAATATTGTTAAATGTTGTATGGCTATATTCATATTTTATGTACAGTTGGGAGAGGACTATCTAAGTTCTTCTAACTTGTGTACAATCCATTTGACATGTTGTCGAGAAATACACAATAGTATATGATTGCAATTATTGAAGGGGAGGTGTTGGTCTTTTGTTTCTTATTCCTACAAGTGTATTCTAAGTAAACATACTCTAACTGGCTTCTAATTAATCAGCTGTGACTGGCAACCTCCATAATAGAGTATATTTATTTGCAATACTAATGTTTAAATTTCAAAGGATCATAATTAATTTGGATTTGATCTCTTTTGTAGAAAATAATTGACAGATAATTTAAAGAACAAGTACAATAAAAAATCTAACCACTGTACAAAAGTATAATCAATTTTCAAATGAATTAGTCTATTTTTCTCCCTAAAATATTTTTAAAAACATTTTTATCATTAATACACACATTTATTACTTTAAATGTAATATAAAGATCCATTTTCTGTATAAACAATATCTAATTCTCAAAATTAAATAAAGTGCCATTTTAACTCTTCCAAAGTGCCGTTTTGACTACTCTCAAGTGCCGTTTTGCATATTTCCAAAGTGCCATTTTCACCTGATGCCGTTTTAACTTGTACCCATTTTAGTCACTTGGAAAAGGACAATCTGTGATAATCATTAAAAAACACAACATTTTGATCTAAAACTTTCAGCGAAGGCCAATCCTAGAATAATTAACTATGTCCATAAATTTCATGAAGAAAGAATGAGTATTTATTTCGTGATTATCAAAAACCCGGTTTTCGTTATCGAAAATCCCGGCCCGGCCCGGGTTTCGCTACCCATTTTAGTCACACTCTAAAAGTGAATATAGTTTCATTTCTTTGTCCTTGTTTTTTCTTTCTTCATTTAAAAATGAAAATAAATATATGTCAAAACAAAGTATCTTTTTCCACGTGTAATATTTTTTTCTCATATTTTGTAATGCAATGTGGGAACGTAGAAATTATCTATAATATTGATCATAGTTATGACCATGATCACTTTCGTTATTTAGTAAAAAATTTTTCAAAGCATTTCTGAAACCCAGTTGGAAGCGTATTTATGACTTAGACTATTGTGTAATTGGGCTCACATTGGTTATTTCATTAACGGTTAGTATTAAATAATTAATTAAATAACGTTTGCAATTTTGTTGAAAATACGTAGACAATGTTATTACAGGAAGTGCTTGCATAGATCAGCACAAGGTTAGGCTTTTTATAAAGAATTTACTTTTAAAAAACTAGTTCATTTATAGAGACAATTCGAGTTCAGTCTGACGACTAGATATGGCAAGAAATTGGTACTGCGTTTTTAGGTGATACTTTTGTACCCTAGGGTACACCCTTAT